AATTTGGTGATGAAGTTATCTCGGAATCTCTTTAGCTACTCCCTTCTCCTCCCATACCCCTTGCTGTGAGACATCTGACTTTCTTAGATAAGGCAATCACATAGAAATGTAGGAAAGAAAAGAAGTTGGGTAACTTCAGAATCTGCATTCTTTCCTTTTCATTACTCCTCCAGCTACTCAAGACCCAAGTGTTTAGTAGTCTGAAATTTGTTTTGCAACTGGTGACCTGCAAGAAAGTAACATGTGTGAAAGGTAAAGCTAGCTTTGTGTGTGTGTGTAAAAGGTAAAGCTAGCTTTTTTTTTTTTTTTTGGAGACAGAGTTTTGATCTTTCACCCAGGCTGGAGTGTAGTGGCGCAATCTTGGCTCACTGAAACCTCCGCCTCCCAGGTTCAAGCGATTCTCCTGCTTCAGCCTCCCGAGTAGCTGGGACTACAGACGCAAGACACCACACCTGGCTAATTTTTGTGTTTTTAGTAGAGACAGGGTTTCACCATGTTAGCCAGGATGATCTCAATCTCCTGACTTCATGATCCACCTGCCTCGGCCTCCCAAAGTTCTGAGATTACAGGCCACCGCTCCCGGCCAGTAAAGCTAGCTTTTAAAGCTCATACTGCTGACCTATAGGAGGAACCTTAGAGGTCATTAAGTGAAGACATAGCACTTGCACCAAAGAAGTCATAAAGGACAAACGTGTGGTGAGGGACAGTCCCTAACCAGCAATAGGAAAGTCCTCAATTGTTCTGCTAACTTGGAAGACTACTTGCAATCTAAATTGAGGGAGTGTAATTTCTTTCACTCAACATAATGTTTTTTGTTTTGTTTTGTTTTGTTTTTTTGAGACGGAGTCTCGCTCTGCCGTTCAGACTGGAGTGCAGTGGCCGGATCTCAGCTCACTGCAAGCTCCGCCTCCCGGGTTGACTCCATTCTCCTGCCTCAGCCTCCCGAATAGCTGGGACTACAGGCGCCCACCACCTCGCCCGGCTAGTTTTTTGTATTTTTTAGTAGAGATGGGGTTTCACCGTGTTAGTCAGGATGGTCTCGATCTCCTGACCTCGTGATCCGCCCGTCTCGGCCTCCCAAAGTGCTGGGATTACAGGCTTGAGCCACCGCACCCGGCCAACATAATGTTTTTTAAATTTCATCCATGTCATTTTGTGTATTCATAGTTCATTTTTATTCTTTTTCTTTTTAAATGTTACTTACTTTTTCATTTATTTTTAAATGAACAAAAGTGTATTATTTTTATTGCTGACTAGTATTTCATCACTCAACTGTTGACATTAGGATTGTTTCCAGATCCTGGCTGTTATGAATACAGATGTGATAAACATTCATATATAAGTCTTTGAATGGTGACAAAAGTTATTTGCCTGACCAAACTTTAGTCAGGCATCTAAATCTTCTCCTAGATCTGTCTGTGCACTTCTTTGTAAAATCTGCTTTTACCAAAAGAACTCTGCTAAGTCCATTTAGCCAGAACTCCCATTCTTGCTATCTGATTATCCTCATTATCTGATCAGTTTCCTCATCCTCTCCCATCCCCCAGGTGATGTCTGATCACTCTGGCCTATCTTAAGCAAGAATCCTGTTAGGTCAGATGAGCCAGGATCCCCCTTACACCTTACTATGGTTTCACTGTGTCCCCCAAAGTTCATGTGTTGGAAACTTTATCCCCAAAGCAAAAGTGTCTGAAGATGGGCCTAATGGGAAGTGTTTAGGTCATGAGGGCTCCACCAATCAATACATTATAACAAATTTTATATCAGAATTAAAGCTAATTATGAAACGGCTTCAGGTTATAAGTTCTCTCTCTCTCCCTCCCTCCCTCCCTCTCACCCTTCTGCCTTCTGCCACAGGATAACACAGCAAGAAGGCCCTCACAAGATGCCAGCACCTTAAGATTGGACTTTCCAGGCTCAAGAACAGTAAAAAATAAATCTTCTTTTATAAATTACCCAGACTGTGGTATTCTGTTACAGCAACACAAATGAACTAAGACACCCCTGATATTTCTTCTTAATAATGTTCCATCCACTGATCCCCACACTTCTCTTTGGTTATAAATTCCCACATGTCTACACTGTATTCAAAGTTGAGCCCAGTCTCTCTTCCTCACCCTGGAAGGGAGACCCTATTGTAGTGATCCTTAAACCTGTTTTGTTGGTCCTCAATAAAGTCTTCCTTGTTGTGCTTTAATAAACATTACTGAATAATTTTTTCTTTAACAGTGAACATTGTTGCTATTTTCTTCAAGTCTGTGGCTTTTATTTTCATTTTCTTAATACTGTCTTTCTAAGAGCAGAAGATTTTAACTTTGTTGAGATCCAATATATCATTCTTTTCTTATGTGGTACATACTTTTTGAATCATATTTAAAGAATCTGTGCCTAACAAAGATCAGAAAGATTTTTCTTCAAGCTTTCTTAGAGAAGTTTTATAAATTCAGGTTTTACATTTAGTTCTATAATATGTTAATTTTTCTACACAATGCAAGGTAAGGATCAAGGCTCACTTTTTTTTTTTTTTTTTTTTTTTTTGCATAGGAATATGCCATCATTCCAGCACCATTTATTAGACTTACCCTTTCCCCCAAATAATTACCTCAGCACTTTCGTTGAAATAAATTGGCCATATGGGTGGGGGCCTATTTCTGGACTCTCTATCCTGTTTCATTGATATATATATGTATGGCAAATGCACCTGAAAACAATAATTTAACTTAAGCATATCTGGAGAATGACCCTACCATCTAAGAAGAATGTGTATTCAAAGTGCTGAGCTAAGGAATCCAGGAGTGGCCAACCTACAGATTCCCTCCTTATCTATGAAAGACATCTGAACGCCCAGCCCATCCCTTGGAACACAGGCCATATAGGGGGATCAAGGCCCTTTGTTTTGGATTAGATGGAGGTTGCTAGATGGAGGGTGTTAGGTGAAAATGTATGTTTCTTACAAACAGTAGCAGTTCTCCTGTCCAGCCTGCTGCCACTGGACCACCCCTGTATGTAAGTCCCTCCAATAAACCCTATGTCTCATTCACTGCCTCCAGCTCTTTTCTTCAGCCTCCTGGATACGGTGCCATCCCTATTAGAATCAACAGGGCTCCAGCACAATACCTTATGCCAATACAACACTGTCTTAATTACCATACCTTTATAGTAGGTCTTGAAATCCAATAGTTATCTGCATCGGTTAATTCTAGGTCCAATATGGATGAATCTCAAAAACCACGTATGGAAAAAATACATGGAGGGTAACAAGCCAGATACAAAAGAGCATTTGCTGTATGGCTCCATTTATACAAGGTTCAATAACATGCAAATCTGATCTGATAGTAATCAGAGCAGTAGTTATCCACCAATCTCTACCTTTTTTTTTTTTTTTTTTGAAACGAAGTCTCACTCTTGCCCGGACTGGAGTGCAGCAGCGTGATCTAAGCTCACTACAACCTCGACCTCCCAGGTTCAAGCAATCCTCCCACCTCAGCCTCCCGAGTAGCTTGGACTACAGGCATGCACCAACATGTCCAGTTGATTTTGTATTGTTAGTGGAGACGGGATTTAGCAATGTTGTCTGGGCTGGTCTCGAACTCCTGGGCTCAAGCAATCTGCCTTCCTCAGCCTCCCAAAGTGCTGGGATTACAGGTGTGAGCCACTGTTCAGCCTCTACCAATCTTTATTCATGTGAATATTCACATCCACCTTCTTTCCATAGGCAAAACACACCAATCCTCTCCTAAAAGGAGGCAACTTCAATGTTTCATAAACAAAGGAGGAAACTGGAAGCAATAATATGGTCTGCATCATATCAAAGAACTACCCTGGGACCCATAGGGTAATGAGGGAAATGGTCAGAATCAGTAAGCACCCCAACCCATCATCTCCCTAACCCTCAGCCCTGTGTTTTCCATAGAGCCTGATTAAAGTGATCTGGTGCTCAAGGTTTGGAGAAGGAGAGGCAGAAATAGGCAGAAAATGGAGGATGTAGTTTGGGATGTAGTGCCCTGATCCCTCTCTTGCTTCCAGTTTCTCTCACTTCCTCCTTCCCAGATGCAATGACTAGCAAATTCAGCTACAAAACTCCATGCGGAAATGCTGATGGCCATGGAGAGCATAGGCAGCAAAACCCAACTGTCTAAAACCACCCATCCAACTCACAACTGGGTAGGCAGAGACTACCCCTCTCACTCTTTAGTTTAAAAAGAATCATCAACATCTTCCTAAGTTTAATGTGAGGTAAGTTCTCTTCAGTGTCCCCAATAACCAGGCCAGTAGACATGCAGAATACGGGAGACTCTCCGAATATTTATTTAGTTGATTTCTGAGAACTCCATACTCCATAACAGACTCAATACAACTTGCAGTGTCCCTGAAAGTGGTCACTAGGGCACTGAGGAAGGGGATGCCAAGAATGGGTTGCTCCAAAAGAACTAGTGTGGCAGAGGCTGTCCACTCGCAGATGGATCCACACTGGGCTGCAGGGGATCTTCTCCCAGCCCCAGACAGTGGAGCCAGAGTGGAAGTCCCAGGCCTCACACCTCTGCAGGGACCTGGTAACGCCTCCTTCACTCTCTCTGAGCAATCACCCAGCTGGCTGGTTTCTCAAAGTCTCAGGTGGGAGCCCTGACACCAGAAACACGTTGAACGCTTGCTTCACCATTGATGATGTCTCTTCTTTGATAGGTGTTCCCCCAGATATTGATGAGTCACCATGGCCCACCTGGCAGGGCAGCTGGCCCTCTAGCTGCAGTCGGTTCACTCCCTCCTTCCCACCAGCCAGCGCACAGCCCTGGTGCAGGCGTGGCTCAGGCAGGTGACCAGAGCACCAGGCAGGGGCACTTTCCAGGCCCCAGTCTCCCTGCCATGCTCTATTGTATGGATCTCCAGAGGGTCCGTGGATTCCAACTGGGATTTGCAGAAAGGGCATTGGGAAGGAGTGGGAGGTTGGAAGAGAGGCCTAGTATAAGACTCAGAAACAAAAGGGGAGTGGACTGGGGTGATCACAGGGCCACCAGGATGCCCAGGGGCCGCAGCAGATGCAGGAGTAAAATGAGGAACACTGCTGGATACGAACAGGTAGCCTGAGCCACCACTGCCATCAGCCACTTACTGTAGACACCAATTTCTGTATAAATTCCAGGCAATCCGCGGCGACCACAGCCAATGCCCCAGCTCACAATCCCTACCTGGACCCATGTGTCATCATATTCACAGGCCAAGGGACCCCCAGAATCTCCCTGGAGAAAGAGAAAGAAACGAACTTCAGAAATTGAATAGGATCTATATCAGAGCAGACTGACTGTACTACAAGGTGTTGAGGAGACAGGCACACATAGGGCTTCCTCCAGCACCTCAAAGGCCCCACTGCCCAGATTTCTGTGAATATGACAACTGAATATGTGAGCATGGGAACTAAAAAGTTAAGGGGAAAACTTTAATATGCTCTGAGAAAATGATGACTTCTCATTTTCCAAACCATAGTGGCTGTTAAACGTCTTGAACATCACCTCAGCATGGCAGCCCCCTAAACCCTTGTATTTAGCCTGAAGTTTCTCTACAACTCCTAACCTACATAGCCAGCTCCACACCCTCCAACTCAAGCAGAATTCTGCATGTCCTTTCCCAAACCTCCTCTGCTGACCAACCATCTCAGTCAGAAAAATAGGGTCCTCTTGAACCTCTCCCTCACCCCCACTCCTACACGCAGTCAGTCAACAAGAACGGATAGGTCAACCTCAAAAACACCTTCACTTGCCTCCCTGCTCCAGGCACTGCTCAGGACTCAATTTATCATGGCCTAGGTGATGAAAACAAGCATTTAGACTTCTGTCTATGCACCACACAGCTCAGGGAGTCATTTATCGAAAAGGCAAATCTAATTATGCTCACCAAAGCCCCCTCCCAAGTCCTGCCAGAGCAAAATCTAGAAAATTGGCACTGCACTCCAAGCCATACACATTCTGACTCCAACCCACTTCTCAGCCACATCTGCTGCCTCATTGCTCCAAATGTGTAAAGTGTCCCTTAACATGAGAAGTACCCTCAGACCTCTGAGCCACTGCACATGCTATTCCCTCTCCTTACAATGCTGTTTTCCTCTTTCCAAGAAATCCAAATACTCATTCTCTAAGACCCAGCTCAAATGGCCCCTCCTCAGGAAGGCAGCTTGGTGCCGAGGGAAGAGCGTGGGTCTGGGAGTTGGTACTCACAGGAGGATCCTGAGTAACGTACTTGGATCTCGCCTTCCACATTCATACAAGGGGTGTGATGTTTATGTTGCAGGGTTGTGGTGTGGCTTAACTGAGATAATGAGGGTTAATGTCCACACTGGCATGGTGAGCATCACATAGGAGGACCTCAATTAGTACGGCATATGTTATTAGCATTTCCCACCCCAACTTTCCCACACACCAGCAGTGCCCCCAGGCAGTGCTCCTCCCTTTTGAAAGAACAGACCAGGCCAAGTTAGGGCAGCCATGGCAGGTTTCCCTTTATGAATCTCTTTAACTCAACTAGGCGTGAATAGAGGAAGCAGCAAATAACCCAGACTCTGCCATCTGGGAATGGGGAAAGGATCCATGAACTTACCTGGCAAGAATCCTTTCCTTGTTCTTTATAGCCACAGACCATCCCTTTTTTAATTATATCCGTAGTAGATGACAAAGCCTTTTTTATTATCTTATTACATTCCTCATAGCGCATGATGTATTGGTCCACCTCCTGGAGAATTTCTGATGTAAGTTTCCCTCCTATCAAAGAAGATCATCAGATCTGCACAAGTGGACAATAGGCCCCTAAGCACCCAGCACCCCTCTGGAAAAAGACAAGGCAGTGAGTATTCTTCTCATTTGACACAGAAGGCCCAAAGTTGATATGAGGAGAGGAGGATGTAAGAAACAAAACCAAGACAGAAACAGGAAGAATATTTCAGGAGAGGGAGAGGCAAGGCCTTGCCAACCTGAGAAATGACAACCAAGTATCGTCACTCTAAGTATCAGTAGTAATAGTGAGAGTGTGTCCTGTGCATCAGTAAAGCATCTTTACTGTCTAGAGCAGGATCACAGACTCTCAGGCAGAAAATGCCCCAGAAGTACCAAATCCAGCTTCTCCCCAGGGATAGGAGGGCCCACACCCCACCAACAGGAGTCTTCTGGTTCTCTCTACATCTCCAGGAACAGAAAATACCCTATCCACCAAGGCAGGTGCTTCCAATGAAGAGCAGCTCTGACTGGCAGACAACTCATTGCCCTCTGAGGTGTTCCTGGGGAGAATTTTATAGCATCTGGCTCTGTCCAGGGAACCTAAAAATCCCCCCAAACCAGTCAAGCACAGTGCCCCCACAAATCCACAGAAGGAGATGTTGCCCATGTGTTTCTTCTTCTCTTGGCTCAGCAACTCCAGTTCCCAGGACTAAAAGTCTTCCTAAATGGCTGCCATCAAATATTTGTGTTGCAACAAAAGAACTCAACCCCGTTTCCGGTGTCACCCAAGACAACCAGGAACCATGACCCTGACAGCTGCTAAACTGTGTGTCCCTCACAACCTGCCACCCACCAGGCAGTCTGCCTCCCTGCTCCTCTCTGTAGCCTTCCTGTCGACTCCAGGGGTAAGGGTGCCTCCTCTCTGCCCTAAGTTTGCTTCCTGCCTTGAAGTCTCACCACCTTCTTGTGTTTTGCCCCATCCGGTCACCCAGCACCTGGTCCTAGCTTCCACCTGGAAATTCTCCTGAGGGATGCAGATAGGCTGGATGTTTGAGGTAAAATTCACAGGATGATGGAGCCGGAGAAGGGCAAGGTCATTTTGAACGGCTTTAACTGTTGAGAACTTAGGGTGGACAAAAGCTCTTCGCACAGGGACCACCACACTTGTGTTTTCCTTATAGACACTCCGATCTCCCATCTTGACACTGTAACGGAGGCGGCTGTGGGAGAGAGGACATGCCTCTAAGAAAAGGCCTAGGAAACATCCTTTGTGCCTTTTCCATACATTTCCAATGTTTCTCAAACTGGCCTCAATCTCCCGGGCCACTACCCCTACCACCCCATCTCCATCACCAAAAACCCTTCCTTGATCACTCTCAAACTTGGTTTGCCTGCCCAACTTAGACATGCCTATAGCAAGACGACCAATGCAGAGACCCCCTCCGGCTTCACTGTGAGTTTTGTTTCGTTGTTGCCAAATTGCCAGGGCAATGGAACTCAGTGGGTGCTTGAGGGGGCCGGCCTGGCCCCAGAAGGCCCCCCAGCCCCGCGTGTCGCTCCTCACCTGGAAATGCAGTGGCCTGCCGTCAGTACCCACGTGGTGGTGACCAGGGTGCCGCCGCAGATGTGCCTGCCTTTGGCCCTCACGCTCACCTGCCAGGGCCACTTCCCTTCCTCCGCGTCCACTCCTCCCACGATTCTCAGAGGGGTTCGGCCACACACTGGGGTGAGGATAGTGTAGGATGAAGAACTCACTCAAAGACACAGACACAGGACTTGACTCCCCGGGGTGCCCCGACGACAGCCAAGAAGGAGCCATGTCCCCCAGGGCTCCAAGCCACGCTTCAGATTCCCCGGGCTACCAGGTAGCACCTGCCCCAGCCTGGCGCCCAACCTCCGCCTGCGGGCCTCCCACGCAGTGAGTCACCTGGGAAGGACGTAAACAGATTGGGTGGGGGGCCCGCCGCAGGTCCTGAGGCCGGGCTCGCTTTGGGGTTCTCGCGGCCCTCCTCTGAGAGGAGAGCAGAGGGAAGGAGTGGCGCCGCCCTGCCCGCCCAGTTCTGCCAGGGCCAGGGCTGAAGGAGCAGGAGCCAGGCCAGGAGGCCCAGGGAGCCGCCGCCAGAGGACATGTCATGGATACCGGCTGCCCCTCTCCCGACAGCTCGCGCCCCTGCCGGGGGTTGGCTGGAACCAGGGCGCCTGCGAGGCACGAGGGGGCGAGGCCGGGGCCTCCAAGGGTGGAAATGGCGGAGCCGACTTGCCAGACCCTGGTCTTGCCAGATTCCTTGTCTGAGTGGGAAATGTCGCCCTCGCGGTGCGGTTTCACTCAGATCCTCACTCCAGACTATGTCCAGCCAGAACCCTACCCAGGACCAAGGGGTTAGGGTAATTCTGAGAAAACTGCCCTTGATGGAGACCTCCTGCTTTAGGGTCTGCACTTAGGAGGCAGGTGCGATGCTGCTCCTGCCCTTGCAGGCGTGGTACCTGGCCTGGAGCTAGTCGGGATAGGTCTTCTGGGAATTCATCGAGGAGCTCTCATTCTCCATAGCGTCCTCAAATCAGGGCTTCATTCACCAGACCTAGATATTAGGGTAGGAGGACTTTACAGATGAAGCAGGCTCGACAGAGGAGTGGGCTGCTCTTCTGTTTCAGTCGCAGGGACATCTTTTAAACAGCCCGCAGGTCAATCCACTCTTATTAACTCTGTGTCCCTAATGTCTATTCTGTCTGTTCTGGTAGCTCATCCTTTTGTCTGCTGCCCAAGACCTACTACCAAGCCTCTGCCTCTCCTGGCTTCATCTTTGTTGAAGTTGGAGGAAAAACAACAACAATAACAGCTTTTGAATTGCTGTATGTTCCACTTTTTCCTGTCCAAAAGTGGACAACCATGACAGTGTTTTCCAAGGATGCCAGTGCTCTCCTCACCAATTTATTGTTCTAAGTCTTGGTGAAGGGGGTATTCTCTAAGGCCCTCTTGGAGCTCAGGGGAGTGGGCAAGCAGGTCATACATCATGAATCCATCCCAATATTCCCCTCTCTCTAACTCTCTCTCTACCTTGAACAAGTGTAGGGACCAGCCCTACAGGGCCTGTGGGTTTTTCTCCTCATGTGTGGAGACGAGAGATCGTAGATATAACGACATAAGACAGAGACAGAAAGAAAAACAGCTAGGCCCCAGGGGACCACTACCACCAAGACCTGTAGTGGCCTGGACTCGCTGCTATTTATTGTATTCTAGGCAAGGGGGCAGGGTAAGGAGTATGAGTCGTCTCAAAAAATTGATAAGGTCACGCAAGTCACGTGTCCACCGGACAGGGGGCCTTTCCCTTTGTGGTAGCCAAGGCAGAGAGGAAAGGCAGCATACATCAGCATTTCTTCTAGGCACTTATCAGAAGGATCAAAGACTTTAGTACTTTTACTAATTCTGCTACTGCTATCTTCTAAGAACTTAAAAGGAGGAGCCAGGTGTACAGGTGGAACATGAAAGTGGACACGGAGCATGACCATAGAGGCACAGCACCACAGGGAGATGTTTACGCCTCCAGATGACTGTGGGCAGGCCTGGCCAATGCCAGGCCTCCCACAAGAGCTGGTAGAGCAGAGTGTTCTCTAACTCCTCCAGAAAAAGGGAGACTCCCTTTCCTGGTCTGCTAAGTAACGGGTGCCTTCCCAGGCACTGGCGCTACCGCTAGACCAAGGAGCTCTCAAGCGGCCCTTATCCGGGCATGACAGAGAGCTCACACTCTTGTCTTCTAGTCATCTCTCACAGTGTCCCTTCAGCTCCTAATTCTGTATGGCCTGGTTTTTTCTAGGTTATAATTATAGAACAGAGATTATTATAATAATAGAACAAAAAGTAATACTACAAACTAATGATCAATAATAATTATATCTATATCCTATTTCCAGTATAACTTTTCTTAATTTAATTATTTTCTTTATTATACTGGAATAGCTTGTGCCTTCAGTCTCTTGCCTCGGCACCTGGGTGGCTTGCCGCCCACAAACAAGGAATTTCTGACATATCACACTTGGTAGCCAAGTGTGGGCCACCACTGAGTTCAGGTTTAAAACAACCAAGTAGCAGCCAGGCGCTGTGGCTCACACCTGTAATCCCAGCACTTTGAGAGGCCAACACAGGAGGACTGCCTGAGCCCATGAGTCACGAACCCATATCCAGCCTGGGCAACATGGAGAAACCCTGTCCCTACAAAATATAAAAAGATTAGTTGGACATGGTAGCCTGTGCCTGTTGTCCTAGCTACTCAGGAGGCTAAGGTGGGAGGATCCCTTCAGTCCAGGGGTTCCGGGCTGCAGTGAGCCATGATCGCACCACTACACTGCAGCCTGGATGACAGAGCAGGACTCTGTCTCAAAAATAAAAATAAACAAGTAAACATGTAAAGCAAGGGTATCCAATCTTCTGACTTTCCTGAGCCACACTGGAAGAAGAATTGTCTTGGACCACACACAAAATATGTTAACACTTATGATAGCTGATGAGCTTTAAAAAAATCACAAAAAAAATAATGTTTTAAGAAAGTTTATAAGTTTTTCTTGGGCCACATTTAAAGCTGTCCTGGGCTGTATGTGGCCCATGGGCTGCAGGTTGGACTAGCTTGATATAGAGTCACTTTCACCTGCCTGTTTGGTATCTACAAACAGACACCAGCAAACTGAATTCAGAATTTCTGGTAAATGTACTCCTGGTAAATTTGGGCCCAAGCCTCTCTAATCAAGAGTCTGCAGAAACCAATCCTATACATATCTCCCAAGTTCTTTCCCATGAAAGTTAGCAAAGTCTTGCAGTTCTTTTTGTAAGGAAGCCTTCTCCCCCTGGGTTATACTTTGTATCTGTCCTTCCAGAGCATGCTGGGATCTGACTGTACTTATTAGGTCTAGAGGCAGTAAAGATTTGCTGAAGTGGTATGGGTCTAGAGGCAGTAGATCTTTAGACCTACTAGAGGTAGGTATGGAACTGGCATGCCCTTATCCTATAACTTCCTCAGTTGAAGTCAATACAGTAGCTCTAGGGTGGAGAGGATCACCCTTGTCAAAACAGAGGATGCACTGCTTCTGTTAGCAAGGGAGGTTCAATGTGGCTGGGAGTCAGATGTCCTAAATCTATCCAAATGTGCCTCATTTAAATTTTCATGGTCTCACTCTCCCAATCAATGCCCTGACTTTTATGTAAGAATTATAATGAAGCTGTTAATTCCATTTATGTTGAAATTCAGCAACCCAAAAGATGAGATACTACATTTTATTTTCAACTACATCAATCCTGTAGTGACAAGGAATATGAAGTTATTTCAGGAAATCATAGAAGCTTTTAATCCAAGAAACTAAAATTCAAGATTGCCATTTGCCTTCTTTAAAATTTTCGTGTAGTAATAAGTAACCAGTCTTCCCCACAATCCTTATATCTTTCATTTCCACAGTAACATCTATTGTGGCAGCCTGTTATCTTTTAATGAACTATGAAAAGCAGAGTGTGGCCTAGAGTGAGACTTTAGAACCTGTGAGAGCTGCAAACACAAAGCAAATTTGCATCTACTTATAGGTACTTCTCCACAAACTTCCACCAGGTCTTCAAGAGAAAGATTAGAGGCAGGGCAAGAGACCAAAGAAAGCCTTGCCCACGGTGCAGTCTTTGGGGAGGTGAGCAGAAGCCACTGTGGGAAAGGCATGACATCTGGCCTGGATCCTCTACTCTGTTTCCCAGCAACTCTACCACCACCACTAACACTACCACTACCACAAACACACACACACGCACACACAAATACACCAACCCTTTGCCACCAGGGGTTCAGAGGGGGCATAAAAATGTCACTTCCAGGGCACAGATAAAAGCCTATTATAGCTGCGTGAACATAACATTAAATATCCTCTTATTTCTCCGGGAGAAGTAGGAAACTGTGCTGCTCCAAACCTTTAAAGATTATCTATTCTGGGAGAGGGGCAAGGTCACTTAGAAGGCCCCATGACTAAGAGCCAAGAACATAGCACTTGCCTAAGAGTGAGGCTGAGCCAGAACAATAAAGAAAGCCCCCATTACCAGGATAGCAAGTGTCCAGGAACAAGTAATAGCTGTCTGCTACTGGAAGAGTGAGGATAAAAGCACAGAAAGATATCCTCTCTTAGACATAGGCACAAAGAGAAGACCAATGACTGTGATTTGAACAGACACTGAGAAAAACTCTCCAACAAACCAGCCACCACTCTAAGCAAAAAAATAATACTGGAAGAATTTGAATTATGTACTTTTTGAGAGTAACCATACTAACAACAAAACCTGACACATTGTCTCAATGCCTTCTCCTTAAAGAAAAGGCATGTCCATTTCTGGACATAAATAGTGTTTACCCAAGTCTCCACTAGCCTTCACAGGAAGGCTTTAGCTTTCAACCAAAAATTACAAGACACATAATGAAACAAAAAATAACACATTATCAAGAGACAAACCAATCAACAAAACCAGACTCAGCTGTAACATAGATTTTGGAACTATTACACCAGGGGTTAAAAACACTATGATAGATGTATCTGTAGACTCTAGTGCACAGGTCAACAAAAGTTTTCTGCAAAGGACCAGATAGCAAACATTTTAGGATTTGCAGACCATAAGGTAAAACTGAGGATATTATGTAGGTTTTTATATAGCAACAAGATAATTTTCCCACAAAATTATAGTCATAATACTAATTGCATATAATATTTGCTAATTCAGATCTACTAATGAGAGGTATAACATTGTTTTAAGGGGAGTATAACATTTTACTTATTGGGGTTCAAGTTAATGTTCTCTATTGTCAAAATCAATTGCACATTTTCTGTTAATGGTGAGCCATAAGGATATTTTACACACTTCATCTTTTCTTTTTTTTATTTTTTATTTTTATTGTTTTGAGACAGGGTCTCTGTCTCTTGCCCAGGCTGGAGTGCAGTGGTGCAATCTTAGCTCACTGCAACCTCTGCCTCTCTGGCTGAACATGTGGAGAAATAGTAAATTCTCTAAACTGTGAAGCAGTCTCCCAGTCACACACACACATCCAGTGGTAAATACTGGAAGTAAAACTGACTAAAGGAGCTTACCTACAACCACCAACAAATGAGTGATGCATGA